ATAACGCAAGCATAGTACCCACTTGGCCACCGGGTAGCTGATCAGACCGTTTCTCATGATTGTTATTATTGAAAAATATGCCGCTGCTCTTCACTACTTAGGGCCCATCAGAATGAAATACATCTTCAGGATAATTTGTTGCCATTGTTTAGTTGTTAAGCTTCCAACCTCATGTTATGTCACTGCCCCGTCTATTTTGCTGTTCATTCTTGTTCCTCATCTTGCACACAGTTTTCATATCTCATCAGCCCCACAAGCGTTTAATTCATCCATCATCATCATCGTCATCATCAATCCCTGTTGTTACTCGTCCCCGCTCCTTGTTTCTCTTTTTGACACATCAGGTACATAGTTTATTGACCGAGAAGTTTACGGCTGAGCGATGTACCATGACTACAGACGAATCAGTCATGCCACAGACATCAGACGGATTGGATCTCACCTATATCGTTCCGCTCGATCGTCTTCTGCCTCATCTCCTTCGTATTGTCCTAGATGAGGTGCTCGATTCGGAAGATGTGTCCCGTAAGTATGATTGTTCTTTTGGTAATTAGCTCTGAAGTTGGTCCCGGGTGCATATATTGTGGTTAGTAGCATCCAACCTACCTACAAATATCGAATCATAGTACTGATTCATTAATTCTGAATGAGCTGCCCGCACAAGCATACCCGGTGTTGCAAATGAGGTTATTTCAATGAAAATACACAAGAATATATATACAAGAATATGAGGTAAGTGATAAAGCATTTCAGGATACGCATGCCTGAGGAGCGGAAAGAATCGCAAAACCGATTTGGTGCTTCCAGGGAAATTGGTCTCTGGTATATATATATATATATATATATATATATATATGTATCAAAATATTGAAAATTGGTTCTTGTCGCTCAGGTGGACAAAATTCATTGGCGCCTCGTCTTCATGCTTGGCAGTTGGTTTGGAGACGTTCGGTTGCCAGCGGAAGTGACATTTTCAGTACTTGCAGAGTGATAATGCTCTGCTTATTTCTATTTGATTGTATTTATTCTTTTTCACTAACCATTTTAATCTCTTCCTGGTTGTGCTCAACCTGGTTCACTGTTGACCCAGCGTGCAGAGATTGCGGCTTTTAGGTCTGTTCTCAGGTCACCGCTCTTTCGTTGTTCTCACTGGACCAGGGCAAGGCATCAATGATCGATTACAGCCAGTCAGTAGGAATCCTCAATAAAGCGAGAACAAGTGCTACAGACCATTAGGCAAAACACGAAAAATCGCGACGATGTAAACCCCTCCTTTGAGGGGAAGTCCAATGCCGTGGCAACGACACAAGTGTTGCCAAATGGTGATTCCTACAGTTGGCGGTTTCTGATTGAACAACCTTTAACCATGTACTTTTGTGCGGCAATTTTGGTTGCTCTCTCATGACTGTTGTCCTATACGCATCAGATTGCACACGTTAAATGTGGCTAGTTTGAATGGGCATCGAGGACACTATATTGCTCACTGGTCGAACTTCTGCAACACATACTCGGCTATTTACGGACAGTCGGATGTGGCGATAGCGCCAGAGGTGTCTCGTGTTTTGCAAATGCCATTCGCCTTTTTTGAGTGCATACAGACACCTTATCCGTGATTCGTCCGCCAGGGGAGATTTGGCTTAATAAGAACAATTGTTCACTCGTCCTATTACTTCCCCAATTATGAAATCTGAAACCGAGACTGTCTAGCTGATAACCATGGAGGGTGAATGCAATTAATGTCTTGTCCGTCAAGTATAAGTACTTTGCATTTGGATAGTGCAAGACTTACGGCCTATCTGGGTACTCCCAATTGACAAACAGTTCAATGCGTGTTAGACTGCATTGTCATCTAGTACTGTGATGTCATCAGCATATCCCTGATTGACGCATCTGTTCCTTAGGTAGAGTTCAACTCCCGCGCTAACTCGACCAAACAAAATATTGCATGGAGCATCTTGTAAGACAGAGTTATCACGATCTGAGGGTACAGGGAAACCTCGTTGCATTCCCTTGAACATGGCAAAAAGTGACGAAAGCTGGACATATATCCTAACCGAACGAAGCAACTCCTTCAAACCTGTTGTACAGTCTGTGAAGAACTCATCAGGTTAAAAACGAGAGGGATGAGCCTAGATTCGTTTCACCCCTAAAAATTGAAAACGTGAGTCCATCGAGAGTGACCAAAAAACGGGTTTATGAGTCGTTTCTCAGAATTCTACCACCCAAATATTGCCCGTCTCAACTCAAAACTGATTATAGAAACAGAGATCATTCCGGAACTGCACTGCGGAGATTAGGAAAAAGTGCACCATTCTTCTACTAGGATCCGGAAGACATTGTTTCAACTACGCAAGTCATCACTATTTTATGATTTAGTGCTTTTCCCTGTCAAAAGGCTAACCCTTGTTTAATTTGTGGAAGGAGGGGCGATGTTGTGGCCTACAAATGACTGATTCGCTTGCCGTACATGGCTGTGGCCAGATTGATTGATTGATCGATTAACTGACTGTTTGAATGCTGGCTTGACGGCATTCGCATGTAGTGAAACGTGTGAGCCGGAGTCGGCCTGCCTGCCTTCTTACACGCTGATCGTTCCTACTTGTTCTCCGGCTCGTGCACCAACTACATATTTGCTGTTTACAATAAAGTTACTACTTCATTTGTTGTGTGCTCATTTGCCTACTTAATTTGGGACACAATAGCTTCTATTCCGACGGTTGTTGGAGTCACTATGAAAGATGGAAACAACAGTCTGTCTTCCAACAAGGAGGAAACCCATTGGGCTCCAAACCTTGGAGGACAATTCTCTGAAACGGTTGTGCTTTGTTGCTCCAGTTGGCGTGTAGGAGGGCATCGCTTTAGATAGTCAGCTTCACAGATCATTTTGCCCACACCTAATTGTTTCCTTTTTATTGCCCCGATGATGGGAAGAAAGCTTACGGAAAATTACAATGACGACTGTGTGATCCATTGATCCAAAACGTTGAAATCACTAGATTTCACGGTCTCTACGTAGGCCTCTTTAAGTGCATCCCTCGTCACTAGTCGTATTTCGTTTACTGCTGGCCGCGATTGAGCAGTGTGCACTGAGATCGGGGACTTATTAGGCAACCGAAAACAGAGCTCTCCCACTGAACAGCCATTACTAATTGATGTTATCTGGTGGGACGAGTTCTACCTTTTCAGTTAGCGCGTTTTCATATTTGTTTGAGCAGACTGGTTGGAACAGCATATTGTAGTCGAGGGGTATCTTTCTCGTATCTCACCTGGTTCTCAGGAATACGCTTCACATATGGGAACCTATAAACTGGCCATTCACCCTAACGGTAAAAACCAAACATAGCTATTTGACGTTTCTGACTATCTCAATGGAATGCTGACCCGATTTTATAACTTCTGTTATATTCGTGTTCCAGCTCAAGTCACCCTCTGACGTTTTTAGACTATCTCGTGCTTATGACCACCTTTCATCACTTCGTTCGATTATTCTCGTTCCTGACAGCCATTTGTCATTTGGCACCCGATGAGGAGTCGGTGCAAACTGTAACCCTGAAATTAATAAAGGACTCCTATCTCGTTCTATCGAGTTTTTGTTTTCGGTTTCAAAAACAATCGTGATCGAATTCTGCACTCAAACTCATTTGTTGATCGCGGGGTGAACAGATCATCTTGAGCATTGTATACGTGTGCTTAAAACATTAGGCTTGTTAGGAGTCACACAGCTGTAAACTCATTCGTCGCTTGCTTACCCGCTATCGAGTTGATTTACTGACTAAGGTAAATTCACACAGTGGATGTGTCCGGCAAACGGCTCGTGGTAGTTGTTGTGATAAACCATGCTTTACCTTTCATAAGAGCACTTTTTACTAAATGCAGTGTGCTTGTGCACACGAAGCTCGTATAGAACCTTTGTGCTGATCTAATACCCAGAAGCTCTTTTTGTTCATTTTACCCTCCCTCCCTCTCTGTCTGCTTTCCAGATATTGCTGATCGATGCTTGGAACGATTGTGGCGAAGACTGGGTCCTGACACGGGCATCCATACAAAAATTTCTTTGGCAGATTTACAGCATATATGCGACTTGTTTGCGAAACAGTTTTGGTTCTCCGTGTGTCGTAAGTTCATCAATAGGGGTATTCTGACCGTGCCGTCCTCTCCGTTTATCAAGCAGACAAGTTTTTCGCTCAGTCAGGTAAGTGTCCTCGATGGGTTTTTTTTCTACTCATTCGAAATCGTTCACTTTTTTATTATAAAAAGTCTGTTGCTCATTTCATCATCATTTTGCTGCATTGTGGACCAGGAGGAGTGGGTGTCGTTGAAAAATACGTGTAGTACGGTACTTCAGCTTCATCAAAATATTGACATCATACACTATCACTCCCACCCTTTGCGTGCATATGAGTGATATACTTGCACATTCACTCAAACGGTACGTCAGTGGTGTACTTGCTTATACATCACAGTGTTACTATCTGACAGTGTGTGATCTATTCTTATGGGTGAAACACTTCATCTAACCGTCTCATATTTGACAGAATGAAAGACATTTACACGGGTGGATTGCTTTCTCTTCGGTGTATATACGATTATCCTAGTTATCATCGTACCGTTTCATTGTCTCCGGCTTCTTCAATCCTCGCGCTTGCAATCACTTATCCGACCTCATCGATTACTGTGTTCATCTTTTTCCTTATTGCACACCCTTGTGCGATGAACAGCATACGAGGATCCGTTGTTCCGTCATGGAAACCGACTACCTAAGCCCCGGGAACTTGCCCCCGGGTCCCGCTGGGTTAGGTTTGGTATTGCGTGATCTGGCAAGAATGGAATGAATATTGATCTATCAGTCACAGGACTCAAGCAGTACAGAATATATGGTTAGACCACCACCACCCCAGGGCAAATTCCATTCCCTTCTTTCTACCGTCGAAAAGAACCCTCAGGTTAAATTTGCTGCGAGAGAATGCAATGTGAATAATTCGCACAGCTTGGACGGCTGTCATTTATCTACAACAATATGCAGTCAGATGATGTATATTAATGTTTACACACACGCTTGAGTTCAGATTGTGTCAAACAAATCATAATCATAAAAATGAAAAAGGCCCATGATTTACTCAAAGACACGATACTGATAGATTGTCCGAACCAAAACAGGTGAATTTTCTTAGGGAGTTCACAATCGAAGGCTTCGGTTAGCCAATGCCTGACCAGCAACGCAGCGGGACGCTATGTGGAAACCGCAGTCTATTAGTTGCTGATGTCCAAATCATCGGATCATACACCATTGGACGGGGCTAGACGTCCAAGGTGCCCAATTGAGCCGGTGACCATTGCCACAACCGGTGCGGTTCGTACGCCTTCTCTTAGTTGATTTGGAATCAGGGTTTTCGGCCAACTCCCCTGGGTGAACTGCCAGTGGTTCGCCAACTCGGTTATAGCCCCGGATGTCGGCTATTCGTCCTCTCACTTTGGTGGGAAAACAGCTCCGCCAAGAGAAGGCAGTGAGTAGGGCTTCCTCAGCCGAGGCTTTTTGAGACGCTTGGTCGTATGGAAGCATTTCGCGAGGTGCAAGGGAAAGGTGACCGGTCACAACCCTAGATACCCACCCTCGACCGTACTGATGATTTCGTAGGTTGCCCATATTGCTTACTCTGTCTGGTCATCTTCATGTGATACCTTTGTTCCTCTGGCGCACTCCTGATGTCACAGTTTGTGCATTCGATACCTATACACCTGATAAATGTGTGAAACAGGTTGGGAATTGAGTTTTCAATTGACCCATGCACATTGTGTTTCATATACGCAATTTGAACAAACTCAGGTTTTCACCACTATTCACGTCGAGCCCATTATCATGGCATTCAAACGACTGACCGTTCATCTATTTTGTTTTAATNCTCTCTCTCCCTCTCGCTGTTCCCATTCTCCGATCTAACCGCATCACCTTCGCAATCGTAATCCGTTTCTCTCATCACTCTACCGATGCATTTGGGCTTGCAACTCCCATCTTCTCTGTCCTCTTCATTCGAATGGAAGATCGTATTGCGTTCCTGTCCAAACATCACCAAGGGAACTAAATCAGTTTTATCAGAAGGCACTCAGGTAAGAATCAGGGTATCGATTTGTTGATTCACGATCGAGTTTTGAAATTGTTTCACCTAGTCCTGTTGGATACAATAATAACTATGCGCCTATTCAAACGGGTTGTTCTCTATTTTTCTCACTTCCATCCACTGAACATCATGGTAGCTCGTTTCAAACGATGATCCAAAACCGACAAATACCTCGTTTAGTCCCCGTTCGGATCAGTCGTTCGGTGAGCACAGTGATACGCAAGATATGCCAGCGGAAGAGAATTATCTGTCCACGGGAGATTTGGACGATGAAGACCATGAAACGGGCGCGGAGCTCGATGAGTACGCGGATCATGAGCATGAAGGGGTAGGCATCATGGATGAGGATGATGGTTCGCTGAATGTTGCACGGGCACCGTTCTTGGATGAAACAGAAGACGGGGCTGGTGAATATGCCGAACGCACGTTGGATTTGGGCGATGAGGATGAAGATGAACAAATTGGTAACCATGGTCCAGAAGTTGCAGTTCAGCGACCACAGCTTAGTAAAGCGGTTGGTCAAACAAGCGGCCCACAATCCAAGACAGTTGGAACTAGCAAAACCGAGGAAGTAAGTTCCCGACTTCCTACTCGTTAACTTGCGGTGGTAATCTCTGTATCGACCGACTTAGAGCACTGGACACCTATTGTGTCCTGGAAGTTTTAATTCCACCAAAGTCGTCATCTCTGTTATTTTCTACCTTGTGTCTGCTGTAACAACGCTCATCGTAAAAGTTGCATACACTGCATTGAAAAGAGCGAACAAGGAGTCGAATGAGATCAGTTCACTTCCAGTCACATTCAAATCCCACTGAATATCGGAAGTCGGATTTCTCTTTTGAATGCAATCTAAACAGTAAATTAGATTCATTTGTACGTGTGTGATTGATGGTTATCTATTTCTCTGAATTCAGTCATCTACGGACAAGAGCACTGGACTGGGCGATTGGGAACGCACCACTCACGCCAGTCGCACAGAGATGACCGAAACACAGACGAGTATGTCCAAGCGTTCACGACCGGATGGTTCGAACAAGGGGGACGATCGTGGTAGGAACGCTGGTCGGAACCGAAAATCCACCGGTCCCACTCTCACCGCTTGGGCTTCCGTGACACGGATACATTACAGCACTGTAGGTGTCTTTCGTTTTTCTCGGTTGTCGCATCCCCTTGTAAAACCGGACTAGTAATGTACCTTTCGTGTATTGCTTTAGATTTTTATCCATGATTTTTTTGGTTGGATGACTACGGGGCAGTTTATCGGACCTCGATGTCCTCTTTGTCCCTAAAGTGTTCATTTTCTTGCCACTCTCGAAACTGCTGTCATCAATTCGTTCACTCATTGATGACCAAATCGAGTTGCTGCTGCTGGTGCTACATTTAACTCTCGGTCTTGATGTGAGCCTACTTCCACTAGGTATTCATTTTCCGAAAACTGGCCGTCGTCTAAGCAGCTTCCACACACACACAGCGAATCCATGATCACCATGGTGTGGCTTTTTGTTTTTAAATCACCTAGCAGGTTGAACACTTTCTTCGCCGCTTCAATCAAAAATAGATTAAATGAATAAGCTGGGGATTGTTCAGTCTGTNACACTTGATGTGGTAAGCATATCGAGCGAGATCAATCCGTTACCTCCTCGAGATGTATATTAGACACGACGATCCGGTGGAATGAGCGTTTTCAGATGATCGAACTTTGTCTTCCATGTACAATAACAATACGTTTTACCTACTACCGTTATCCCGCATCATTTATCTCTCTGATTCCTGTTCCAGCCTTTGGACGACGATCGTCCCGGTTATTATCATTCTCGGTTAGTGGATTCACTGAAGCCGGAAGATCTATCGTTCCCGTTCACCGCATGGGGACAGATAAATCGACGTGGGAGTCATTCCGTTCGATCGTCCGTTCTCGGCTTGGGTGGATCGGATCAACGCTCTACCATGCTCGCCCATTTTTCTCCACCCGAACCTCAATGTAAGGCATGCGGTCTGATGGGACACACCAAGTCCACGTGTCAAACCAGTGTGGACACATCAACCTCATTCGCGATGTGGCAGAAACAGTGTGCCGAGATCGTGAGGTGCCGGCCCGAGCCGGAACATATTCAAGCGCTCACGGACTGTCTGGAACAATTGGCCAGTTTCCATGACTGTACGGAACAAATCAATGAGAAAAAGGTGCGTTCTTATCCTCTCAGTCTAGTATTGTACAACCATGCTCTTTCGTGCCTCGGTTTTAGTTACTTTCTTGCAGAGAGTATTGCTTCAGCGATACGAAAACGGACGAGAAAACCAGAAGAGCGTATCACGGGCATGCAAACAGGCACCACTGTTCACCGCCTCCAGCCACATCATAAGACCCCCCACCGTTTATCCGATTGTTCATCTGTACGGACCGAGGATGCTCTCTGATGAAGATGCGTTTATCAGCTTACCAAATGAGCCCAGTTCCGACAGGTCACCTCAGCTGTGTTTTGGCCACTGCGAAATAGATCGAGCGGAGGAGTCCAAATCAAATTGGCCAGTAATTTGATGTCTGAGTGCCACTGTTTACGGCGCTCAGTTAGAACCAAGAAGGCTTATTTTATTTCAACATTATATAAACCCAAGATAGACCTGATCCAGTGCAGGTGTCTGTATCAATTCTGTGGTTTGCACTGCTCAAAGTTGGATGTTAACTGAAGGAACCAGGATTCTAACTGATCAGTAGAGGGCTGCTTTGAGACCGAACAAACAGACCGAGCCTCTACCTCCAGGTACAAAATGTGATGTTAATCCATACGTCCGTTTCATCGAGAAGCAGGTTGGGTTAGATTTTCGGAAGTCATCGACGAAAATATTCCCGTTTCACCCAGCAGAAAACGTTGATTTCCCGGAGTGTCTTGCTTTAACCTAATTAGAACCATTTGATGGGTAAACATCCATCAGATTTCACGTGACATAGATACGAACTGGTGTCGGGTCTGTTTCATTACTCGATTGTTCGGACCCATCACTATGGCGTAATCGGTATAAACAACCGAACAAAGTTGAGTGCGACTACCTGTTACACAAGACTAC